CACTTCATTAGAGGATCCAAATATAATATCATCCACGTAAATTTGAACAATTAAAAATTGTTTATCTTTTCTCTTAATGAACAGAGTTGTATCAACTTTACCTTTTGTGAAGTCATTCTGCAGAAGGAAATTACTTAACCTCTCATACCAAGCACGAGGTGCTTGTTTCATATCGTAAAGGGCTTTTTTAAGCTTGTATACATGATCAGATTTTCTTGGTTCTTCAAATCCAGGAGGTTGTTCTACATAAAATTCTTCATTGATGTAACCATTCAGGAATGCACTTTTCACATCCATCTTAAACAATTTAAAGTTATGGAAATAAGCATAAGCTAAAAGTAGCCTTATGGCTTCTAACCTGGCAACCGGTGTATATATTTCATCATAGTCTATGCCCTCTTCGAGTTTCTCAAAGTGAGGTTTTTATATTATCCCATTCCTTTGATAACCCCTCAGAAGCTTGTTCACTTTCATTGCATATGAGATTGGTTGTCCTTGATATGCGAGACCATTCACTATGTTAGTAAATCTGTCATGCATATCAGCAACTGATTCTTCTGACTTCATTTTGAAGGATTCATATTGTCCTAGCAATAAATTGATCTGAGTTTTCTTGGCTCGATCTGTTCCTTCATATGTTGTATAAAGGGTGTCCCAGATGTCCTTAGCTGATTCACAAGAAGAAATTTTCTTATATTCAATAGGTGCCAAGGCACAATAAAATGAATAAATTGCTTTTGAATCTAAAGCTTCTCTTTTTTATATCTCAGTTTGAGATAATGGAGCTTCTTCTGGTTTGCTTCCATCTAGCTTTTCTTTTGAAGCAGATGTAGGTGTAGAGGACTTAGGATTGACTCCTCTGATGACAACATCCCACTGCATGTGATCAATTGATCCGATGAACGCCTTCATCTTGTTTTTCCAGACGCTGTATTCCTTGCCATCGAAATATGGTGGTTTGGAATTGCTTTGTCCTTCAATGAGACTTGGAACACTCATGCTAGCCATAAGATCGTTAGCTCAGAAGTAAAAAGCACTTCAATAAACGAGCAACCTTACTCTGATACCAATTGTTATAGCTAGCAGGTATCACCTAGAGGGGAGGGTAAATAGGTGATTCGAGCGATTTTTATGAATTTAAAGCGGAAACGATTTAAAATCAGTAAAGTCTGAACAACGTTCATATTTTGAATGTGATAGTATGCATTGTAAATAATATAAAAGGAGATTAGGGATAAAGAGAACCGCACACAAGAAGTTATAGTGGTTCGGCTTAGATCAAGCCTACGTCCACTATCCCACGCTGACAGCCTACTGGCTGAATTTCACTATGTGATCAAAAGAATTACAAGATCTGAGTAATATCACTCAGTGAATGATATAACTCTCTATCTCACACAATCACTTTTACAAAGTATCCCTCAAAATCTCAGTATTTAGCTCAGGAAGGACAAGTAATAGAATCGAAATAAGCTCAGACTTTGGACTTGTTGATTCTCGATTTCATTCTATACCTTCTGCTTCTCATTGGTCTCCTTTTATACTTCTCCACTTCCAAAATAGCCGTTGGACAGTCTTCAGAAGATCATCTTGCAATCTTCACCTTGGACAGATTTGTATAAAATGGATTGAGTAGCCGTTGGTTGACAAAATCCGAATCCCACTGAATCTGATCGCCCATACAACCAGAATCTTGGTTTCCATAAGTAGAATTTTATCCGTTGTGATATATACTTGTCAAAGTGTTTGATTGTCAATCAATTAGGCTTAGATTGAGTCAATCAAAACTTTCCTTTTGTGAAATCCACGCCAGATCACTAGCTGTTATGTTTCGTTCTGAATAACTTCTGAGTTTGAAGAATTTCTGGTTCTTACTTTACATTCAGAACCTGAGTCAACGTAGGTCTTCAGTAAAGTATGAGTCCTTCAAAATTAGAGTCTGAAGTTCTCTGACATATTAAGATAACGTCTAAGTGTCTATTTCAGTAGAGTCTGAACTTTTCGTTCTGAAACTTGTAGAGTCTAAAGATCTCTTTCTGAACCTCGTAAAGTCTGAGCGTCCAGAAAGTTAATTTCTCTTGAAGTATTAAAGTTATCACTTCCAAAATATATTTACCTGGATCAAAATACTTCAGAGTACATATAAGATTAACAAGATTAACATGGATAGTTTTGTCAACTACAAAATTTATTAGGAAATTTCCTCAACAGTCATTTCAGTCAATTTTTATTGGAAATCGCCAATTAGCGTTCGTACAACATTTTCGGTGAAAATTTACCAGAAGGACTACAATGGAATTCCGTGAAAAGATTTATGAATAAATTGGCAAATTGAAAAGTTCAAGACTGAATTGTCATCTGTATAATAGGTTTATGATCGACTAGTTTGTTAGTGCTTGACACGCCAGTCGAATTTAATTTCACTCATGCGAACCACAATACTCGCACACAAGAAGCGTACCATTATGGTTACCTAATGTAAACTTTTGCCAAATGGTCAATAAGACTTTATACATATTTAGTGTCCCACATACACCAAGCATCTGACAATTAAAAGATAAAACATATAATTAAAGATGAATCCGTCACAATCTGGATTATCATCATCATTATCATCATGCATGTGGGGTTTCGCTTTCATGGTCGCAAGTAGTAGGTGAAGACTTACTATTCATGCGCATCACGATCAACCCTTTGAAGTCAAATAACGAAACGAGTGATCAAGTCGGCGATGGCAACATCAAACCTGTCCAATCATATGTTTGGTGTGATGCTTACTTGGGGACTCCAATTTCTCCCTTCGCACCTCTAGAAAAGTAGCGAATCTACATGATTCTCGTAATTTCTCAGCGTCGTAATTTGACGATCCTCGTGGGAAAGTGAAGTGGCGGCAGATAGAAACACAAAACAGGAAAGCGCCATGCATGGAAAGAGATGGGGAAATTTTATTTTCACGACCCCACACGCTTGCTTGATCCCACCGTTCTTTAGGGTTTGGTCACCTTGTCTGTCAGCTTCATCTTGGAGATTACACTCCAAGGTAGACTCTCTCTCTCTCTCTCTCTCTCTCTCTCTCTCTCTCTCTCTCTTTCTCTCTCTCTCTCTGGGTTCCAATCATTGACGTAGAGGACGTCGGTCAAGGCTCGAGCTCATTCATGACGTGGGTTCTTGGCACTTTGCCAAGTGAAAAGCAATCGACGCGTTAATTGTTAATGGATTGAAGCTGGTTCGTTCAAAGTTCTTTATCCTTTTGGACGATCCAGCATGGTGCCCACCATCCGCAATGGAAAGAATGACAGTTCTAGAAAACATGTGCTGGCTCTCTTTTGATTGATCGCTGCGCACGATGAAGGACTTTGGTGATACGTTTTGGGAGCGTGTGGTGATTGTAATAAGTCAATTCATTCGCAAGAAAGCCGAAAGCATTCTTCGAGCCCGACTGGATCACCGTAAAATAGAAAGTAGGTGTCTCCAACCACCGCAGTGCCAAGGCATAGATCCCCTCGGAGATCTGGAATGACTTAGCCAGTATTCAGGAAAAGATTCAGTCAGATTTATGCTCAGTTTGTGCCGATTAGTGTCTTGAATGTTACAACCATGTCTGTTTAGCAATTCACACATATCGAATGCTCTAAAAAGATTAGCAGTCATTTAAGATCAGAATGTAAATATAATTAGTTTATGAAAGAGAAACACTAAAAAACTCTGACATAGCTTCATATTGAACGAATCGGACAAGAAAATCTTGCATCTAACACTAAACTTGGAAGCTAGTTGTAGTTGATTTGAGCGAGGTTGTGGTTGGAGGACGATGCTTGCTATCGAGGTATCATCAAAATCATAGAGGACGAGGAGATTCGAGAAAAAGAGGGCGCGGGTCGTGAACCCTGGAAAACCCAAAGAGAACTTTTCTCTTGGTGATTGAGACAAGAGAGCTCGTCACTAAAGTTTATTTTATCTCTAAGAATATTAATTAGGTATATGGCATTCTTGCCAATGAATGGAGAAATTGTATGATACCACTAACCATATCGATACGCCGTTGTTTCTACCGTTTGATGAGACGTGAAAAGAAAAGGTATGGTAGGACATTCTTGCTCAAATGGTTGATAAAGCGACTGAATGGTTAGTTAAATTAAGGAACTATAGAAGCTCCCCCAATGATTAATGAGTTTTGGGCTCCCTTGTTTGGCTTTGAGCTCAGAGCCGAAAGAACTAGCTAGGTAGCTAAAACATTGAGCAAAACTTGCCATTTGGACTTGCATTGAAAGCACAAGGTACTAGTATAACGGAAAATTTGAATTTTCTGTAAAGAAAAATTCCAAAAATAGAGTTGGAAATACGATGTTCAATGAAAATTGCAAGAAATGGAAATATAATAGTAGTAAGTATATATTGCATTCAAAGCACAACGTACTCGTATACTAATAATATTAAAATTTTGATTTGTTAGAATTATTAAAAATAATTCAAAAAGAAATTAAGAAAAATTAATGGAACACATTTATTCAATGAAATGCGAATAAAGTACAAGTACATCTTCACATTTGAAAAAAAAATTGCACATATAAGTGCCGTAATAATGATCACACACAAATTACACTTTAGAGAATGTCTAACTAATTTGGTGTCTTCAGCGTTGCATCTCTCTTCATAATTCAAATGATCAAGTGTGATCATTGTCCTCTTCTTCTCATTGGGCACGTTCGGCGGGAGCCAATTTTTGTAATAACCAATCATGCCAAGTGTGGTTTGACAGCCAGTTTTGGGGGCAAAGATCTATTTCTTTGGCCTTTAGCGGTCCAGTCCGCAACCTTGTTTGCCTCTCTAAAGCAGTGGGCCAGTTTCAAATGGAGGAAGCCCAATAACAAGAACTTAGATTCAGTGATAAGCGGCTCCGCTTCTCATCCAAAGTGATCTGTGCCCTAAAGAGAGTTAATCAACGATAGATTGTCAAACTCCACTTGAAGCCTCTCTCCCGTTCGTGTAGCTAAAAAATTTAGGGTTTACACCATAGCCATAGCTTATGTCTGGGCTGCAGATCTCGATTTCACTGTCTTTGTGAAGCCGTCCACCAAGTGGCCGGATGTGACATCCTCAATCCGACACCGACTAATTACGCATCATTGGATTTATTCGGACTCGTTTAGGCATCAATCAAGAAGGTAAGGCCATCTTACCATCTTGGACCTGGATTAATTATTGGAATGTTGCACCTTAAAGTACAATGTGCACGATTGGTGTCTTATGATTGATTAACTTATAGTTTTCATTTATGTACAACTTCTAGAAGCCTTGATTGAGATGAGACAAATTTTAATCTTATCCTAGCAAGCTTGGGCGCCACTTTTGGGGGGAGAAAAGAGAAGAGGGCTCACTTGGTTAGCTTCTAAAATTGTCTTCCCTTTGAACTTCTTGCATTTGCCTAATTCTTGTAAGTATGATTACCTTAGGGGTGAGACTTGATGGAGATATTTTTAAAGGCAAGGCTAGCCTAAGCCTGAAACCTTTGAGTGCAAGAGAATTATTGGTCTCTCTCTCCCTTGCAAGAACACTTAATGATAACACTCTCATTTCTCTCATTTCTTATTCTCACTCACTCTCATCTCTCTCTTCCTCTCCCTCTCTTCTCTCCCTCACTCATGCCACCACCATCACTGGCCATCACCACCACCGCTCGCCACCACTAGCACCGCCGGCCACCACCGCCGCTGCTCGCCACTCACCGCCGTGTGCCGCGCCTTGTCACCGTCACCGCCGTGCCAACCGCTTGCCATGCCGTCCGTGCCGTGTTGACGCTCATAGCTCGAATGGTTTAGTAAGTGGTTCCTCTAAACCTTGGCTAGGGCGCTATTCTACAAATATCAGTCCTAGGTTAGTTTTGTTTGAGCTTATTCCCTCATGTGTGTTTGTGGATGTTCAAGTGGTTGTTGCACGTTGGTTTGGACCTTTTGAAATGAGTTTTGTGGGTTGAAGGTTGGTGGGTATCAACTAGAGTTTGAATTTTTGAAGATTGGTTTGAAGCCCGGATTTGTTATTACTGTACCTCTTCAGTTTACTATTTTTGTAGAGACTTTAGTGGGTCAAATATGAAGTTATATTCTTCACAAAAGTTGTTCTTCACATCTTGACGTTTAACATATTTTAAATATGGAATTTTTGGAGGTCATTTGGGTCACATGAAAGCCCATCTTCAAACCGTGTTTAAACTGCCCAGAAACGCTGTTTCTCTGACCTTTTTGCCTTTTTGAATTTTTATAAATTTTTGCCGATCTATTTTCAACAAATTTCTTTCACAAAAGTTGTTAAGGACTTTTCTTTGTATGACACATAAAAATTTGGAGGCTTTTAAAGGTGATTTGGGTACTGAAAGAGATGTATTTTGGGGACCGAGTAGCCTGTTCGAACAAACTAATATCTGTCTGGCTTTGAGTGATAAAAAGACATAATCAAAGACTGAACTGGGTTTTGTGATCTCATAAGAAATGTTTATCAAGGTGTTTTCTATGACATATCCAAAATTTAAAATTTTTGGAGTTTATTTACTATTTATTTTGAATGGATTTCAGTTATAGTGCAAGCTGTCCAGATTTACCCCAATTTCATAGATGTACTATTTTCTTTCACGTGTGATTACTCTAGTACATTTTATGTGTGCGAAATTTAGATGTTATAAGTGCATGAACATGAAACACTCTTGCATTGGCCTAAGTAGAAGATAATAATTGGCTTGAGTGGTTGATATACTTGTTTGATCACATAAAAGGTTCCGTACTCGTATGATTGCGAGGGACGATGTTTGATGGATTTCAGATGCCCGATAGATTTCGGTTGCTATTTGTGATATAGTTCAGAACGATGCTCTTAATTGAATGCCATCTACTAGTGAGGTCGAGATGATGCCGTGTCCGATGGGGTGGGACGATGCCTGGTTATGCCGGATGACCACAGACGCAAGTGTCGGTAGTGGCCATGAGCGGTCGTAATAATCGGAACACGTGTGGATATATTGTGCATAAATTATATGGCATGAGGTGTTCTTGATTAATATGTATGATTTTCGCATGCCGATTGAAAGCAAGACTTCACATGTGAATAGTTATGTGAATTTGATGCGCCGACGAGAGGTAAGAAGTATGCATGATTAATTGATGGTTTTGTGACATGCGAAGTTGATGAGTTACCCTTTGTGTTTCTGATGCGAGGTTTTATCCTACTCGAGGTTTAGCGGTTCTGCTTATTGAGATTTTCTCATCTGTTGTTGTTCACATCTTTTCAGGCCCTTAGTATAGATACCCGAATAGTATGTTTTGGGGTCCCGGTGGACCAAGATGTTGAGATATTTGAGTACGTTGCACCAAGGATGGACACGACATACGAGGAGTACAAAACCACTGTTTGGGTTGACGAGGGGCTTCCTAACTGGGTCCCTTATTTGTTTAAACCATGGTATTTGTGGTTCGGGGAGGAGCATTTTGGACTTCTTCGGGGCTTTGACAGACCACCAATTGCGTCGGTGCAATTTCGTGGGACGCTTCGGGGTCGAATGTCCCCGACGGTCTCGTTAGTGATCCGGAGTCGTACCCGTACTACGACCCCGTAGAGGAGCCATAGCATACCCAAATATGAGGGAGCCGTGTTCTTTTTGAGGAGGCCCTCATAGATAGAGGAGATAAGTCGAACCCCGACCCTTTTGTTTGAATCGGAAAGAGGCCCGTAGTTACGGGTTTATATTTTGCTAACATTTGATCGTTATGATGCATATATATATATATTTATATATATATATATATATATATATATATATATATATATATATATATCAAGTGTGCTTCTGGTGATTGTGTTTTTCCTGGCTATCCCTGTTGTTGTTGTTGGTTGGGTGATTTGGTTTTCACTTCTGCATGTGCTTATTCGTTAGATACTTGATGGGTCGACGACGCCTCCTGGGACGTTGCAATTAAATGACCTAGATAAGAAGGGTGTCGCGCACCTAGGGCTCGGTGGATGGGGCGCGGGGCGTGACACCGGAGTTATCACGACAAACGCAGCTGACGGCTCCCTCCGTGGAACCTTCGAGGTAGGATCCATCTATATTAATTTTGAGAACACTCGGCTTTGGTCCCCTCCAGATTTGAGGTGAGTCTATCTGACGTTGCTTTTTTCTATGACCTGGAAATGCGACTAAAGTTCTGGAACTTTGCCAAGGCCGAGTTTACTAGGTGTTGTGGGTCAAGCTTCTGCCTTTTGAAAATGAAGTTATTTCTTGCTTTCCAAATGTTCTAAAGAATTGTTGCATTAAAGATAACAGACGGATTATGAAAATTTGCAAACCATTCTTCCATTCGGGTGAGACCATGACTTAAAATTTGGACCTTTAGTGCAGGATTTGACCAAATTTTTTGTGTCCACGAACAGAGCAAGAAAAGAAGTTCAAGGGTCTCGGGGTGATTATTACACAGGCTGTAGGTATCCTCTTTAGTAAATCCTCTTCTGAACAGATTATCTTTTGTTGGTAGCGTGTTTTGGCAAATTCCCCCATAAGAAAAAACGAATCTTTGGGGAAATATGTGCTTTCCAGATTTTGTTCCAGAGGGTGTATGGGGTTTGATATGATGATGACGTTGAAGAGTGGCTCTGTCTGTCCAGCTCTTCCCTGTTTCCGTTTTATCCACTCTTTACCATGTATAGCCCGGATTTGGAATTAGTCCAAACCAATCTATCTTCCGTCGTGCGAGTATCTAGTGGGATTGATAGAATTTTGCTGGTGGTTTTTTTATCAAACATTCTCGCGAGTGTTTGTTCATTCCATTTCGCTTCTCCTCTTACAAAGAGGCCCGAGACTTTCTGAGGTTCATCTTTATTTGTTGGACCCCCAATCACTTCTCTAGGAAGCCATTTATCTTCTCTTATTCGAATTTTCTTTCCATTCCCAATAGCCCACATAACAGAGGGTTGAATAGCTTCTCTTCCCACAAGGAGGTTCTGCCCCATGATGGTCTGTGTCCCTTTTCTGCAATCCAGAACTCACCATTTGGAAAATATAGACCTTTGAGGACTCGACCCCATAGAGAGATTGGTGATTGTACCAATCGCCATGCTTGTTTTCCAGGCATTGCTCTGTTAAAAGTAATTAAGTCTCTAAATCCCAAGCCACCATTGTCCTGTCTAAGTTTCAGAGTCTCCCACTTGCGCCAATGTATCCCTGATTTTTTCTCATTAATCCTCTACCAAAAATTTGCTATTTTCAGCTTAATGCTTCGACATATAGAGATTGGAATTTTAAATATGGACATAACATGTTGGGGGAGAGCTTCAATTACAGCTTTAATAAGAACCACTTTCCCTGCCTTTGACATTAGTTTCTCCTTCCAACCCTCCAATTTCATGTTGACCCTGGCCAAAATCCAAGCAAACATTTGTGTCTTTGACTCACCCCAATCCGAGGGAATTCCTAGGTACTTGCCAGTTTTTTCAATTTTTGGGACCCTCAATTCGCCTAACATATACTTCTTCAGACTGAGAGGACAGTTCTTACTAAAAAAACAACCCAGATTTGTTTAGGTTTATGGCCTGGCCAGTTGCATAGCAATATTGATTCAGCACCTCAGCCACATTTTGACACTCTTTTATATTGGCATCAAGGAAAAAGATAGAATCATCCACAAACAGAAGGTGGGTCAATTTAGATCGTTGTGGTACTCTCTCGCCCTTGCAGAGTTCTCCCCCAACCCTCATGGGGTTGTCTCCCTTAAAACCCTAACTTTCCTTAAACCCTAACAACCTTTAACACTTTCTCCTGTAAATTCTTGAGCGTCTTCTTTTGCTCTTTTCTTGCCATTTTTATCTATTGTTTCTCTTCGTTAGCTGGTTTCTCCCGTCCTGAACCTCATTTCTCCATAATCTTGGCCATGGAGGAAGATGACTCGGAAGCTCTTAGAATGGCAGCCCTGTGCAGGAGGTTGGGAAATCTTTGGTCAGTATCTCGAATCACCAAATTAGATGTAGTCTCTACTGATAAGCTGAAGGAAAGTAAACTTACTCTTTTTGGGAAACTATTCAATAGCCCATCTGTAAATCTCCAGGCATTTCAAAGCACTATGAAAAGGGCTTGGAGAATTGATGATGTTTCTATTGAACCTTTAGAAGCAGGCATTTATGTGATTAACTTAAAATCTGAAGCAGAATTAACTAGAATCTTGGAAACAGGCCGTTGGTCCTTCTCTAATCACCTTTTCATTCTTAAGCCTTGGATCCCAAACACCCCACTAAACTGTTATGATTTTAGTTGCTGTGATTTCTGGGTTCAACTGTATGGGTTACCCTATGAATGGAGGTCGGAGGAAGCTATTTACTGTGTGGCAAAAACGATTGGCCCTGTTACTGATGTGAGAATGGACCCAAATGAATCATCCTCTTAGAAAATTGGGAGAGCTCGTGTTACTTTAGATCTCTCAAATCCTCTTTGTCTGGGGACTATAGCAAACAAAGAAGGGAAGAAATTTTGGGTGGATTTCAAGTATAAGAAATTGCCTCACTATTGCTATACGTGTGGTAAAATAGGATATTATGCAAAATTTTGTCAAGAAGTATCTTTTGATGAGAACAAAATGGGGGAATGTGCAGTTGGGCATTAGCTGAGGGCTGCAGCTAGAGAATATAGCCCATACTGGACTCCATTTCATGGTAAATTGGAAGAGATGAACTTGGAGGAAGAGTTTGTAGCTGAGACTCCAGCTGAGACTCCATAAGAGGCAACCCAGGTTCTACCTATTGAAGATGAATCAAATCATGCGGTGCTACAGCAAAACAATCAGTCAACTCAGAAAAGGAAAGAAATCTTCACTGGGGAGGGTTGCTCTTATTATCAGCTTGCTCTGGTTCCTTCAAATAACCCGACATCACCTTTGGTGATAAATCGGATTGAGCAACTTGCAAGAGAGGCGAAGAAGAAAAGGAGCAAGGAAATCAAATCTCCCTTAAACAAAAAACAACGCCGATTCATGCCTTATGAAATCCCAGAATCTAGCCAAGAATTGCTAGATGAATCGATGTTGCTCGAGGCACCTATCCAAATGGTGATTGAAGTAAGTGGATAGGCCTTGGTAGCTAGCCTGAATAAGCCACCAGGGTACATATGAGGATCATTGGCTAGAACTGTCAGGGGTTGGGCACACCCCTGACAGTTGAGGCACTTAGAGCTCTCGTGGCTCAAGAAAGGCCCGCCGTCCTTTCTCTTAAGGAAACCAAAAACCAAGAGCAAGTGATCCGGAGAATAAAAAGGACTTTGAATTTTCAATACTGTTTCTTAGTTATCCCAGTGGGGCTTGCCTGTATGGCAGTCTTTTCGAATGAACAAGTTTCGCTATTTGTGATGTCTCACACTGAGTCTTTCATTGATGTCGAGTGTTTTCTGAAGGAGAGTCAGCAGTCTATGCGTATTACATCCATTCATGCCCCCATCGACGTTTCAAGAAAGGGTGGCTTTATGGGATAAATTGCATATTCTCAGCCTATCAAATACTTTACCATGGTTTTGCATGAGGGACTTTAATGAGATACTTTATCATTGGGAGAAAGTAGGAAGGAGAAAGGTTGAACAGTATCGACTCAACACTTTCCAGAATTTCCTAAACTCCTGCGCTTTAATGGATATGGAATGTAAGGGGTATTCGTTCACGTGGGCCAATAATATGGTTGGGGAAGCATGTGTTAAGGAGATATTAGACATATTTTGTGTACTATGGACTGGAGAATTAGTTTTCTTGATGCTGAAACTTTTGCACTTCCAGCAATCAGCTCGGATCATTGTCCTATTATGCTAACTCTATTCCCAAAAAGTTAAAAGGAGCAAGCAGTTTAAATTTGAGGCGTTTTGGCTCGAAGATGAAAAATGTGAATAACTCATTAGGCACACACGGAATTCCTTCAATCAAGGGAGTGTCAACTTGCCAAAGAGACTGAATGCTATGAAAAGAGAGTTACCGGCCTGGAGTAAATAAAGTTTCATAATGCACAAAAGGAAATTGTCTTCTTGAAAAGAGAATTGTTGCCTTTAACTAACTTCCCAACTGTGTTTTATGATAAAGAAAGGGTAGAGTATTTGAAAGGGGAGATTGAGAAGAAATGGAGACAAGAGGAGATGTATTGAGGGTTGAGATCTTGAATTAATTGGTTGCGTTAGGGGGATAAAAACACAAAATTTTTCCAATCGTCCACTATTCAAAGACGACAGCGTAATAAGATATCCATGCTGAGAAATTCGAATGGGGAGTGGGAACGGAATTTAAAGACCCTAAGGGAGCAAATGGTACACTATTTTAAGGACTTATACAATTCAGCGGGCCTGAGGAATTTTGATCCTATTATAAATCACTGCCCCGTTGTGGTTGGAGATGAGATTAATCAAGTGCTCATATCTGAGTTAACTCTAAAACTGTCCACCAACTGGGTTAAACCAAAGCCCTTTGTCCTGACGAATTGAATGGACAGTTTTTTCAGCATAATTGGAAGGATCTCCAGCAAGCTATTTTCCTGGATGTGCAGAATTTCTTTAATACAGGGGTGCTCAACCCTAAGCTAAATAGAACCCACATTACCCTGATTCCAAAAACTCCCAACCCAAAAAAGTTGGAGCAATACCATCCAATTAGCTTGTGCAATTTTGTTCATACGATTATTTCGAAAGTTCTTGCAAACAAATTAAAGCCTTGGTTGCCAGACTTAATCTCTTAAGGACAGAGCGCCTTTGTGAGTGGGAGACAGATCCATGACAACATCTTAATAGTCCAGGAAGTTCTTCACCAACTCAGGATCAAGAAAAGGACAAGAAATTTTCAAGCGGTGCTTAAACTAGATATGAAGAAAGCCTATGATAGAGTTGAGTGAGACTTTTTGGAGGCATGCTTGTTGAAGATGGGCTTTAACGTGAAGTAGGTAAATTGGGTGATGCAATGTGTTACTATGGTCTCTTTTAGTGTCAAATTCAACGGGGAACCTACGCCCTTTTTCCATCCCTCGAGGGGACTTCGACCCTCTCTCCCCATACTTATTCATAATTGTGGTTAATGTGCTCTCAACTTTGATGAAAAAGGCTCTTGAGATGGGGAATATAAAGGGCATTCAGCTAAATAAATCGATTGAAGAATAAATTGAATTGTGAAAAAGAAGAGTAGATTGTGAAAAAAAAAAACACATTTGATCGAATCCGATAAGGATCCCTCTGCGAACTAGCTGGTCGTTGGCTATGGATGTTGATAATGAGTCAACATAACCAGTATTCACTTTTGATTTA